TGAGAAAGTGAGGGGGAACAGGAGCGACCGGAGGACACACATCAAGCTTTTGGGAAGAGGATTGTTGAGAAGAAAACAACTTGAGCTGTTGGAGTTGGGACTGGGGCGATGGGGTCAGGGGAACAGGCAGAAATTTGGTGTTTGGGCAGAAAGGAAATTTTTAAAGATTTATTTATTTTTATTAGAAGGGCAGATATACAGAGAGGAGGAGAGACAGAGAGGAAGATCTTCCGTCCGATGATTCACTCCCCAAGTGACTGCAATGGCCAGTGCTGCACCGATCCAAAGCCAGGAGCCAGGAACTTCCTCCAGGTCTCCCATGCGGGTGCAGGGTCCCAAGGCTTTGGGCCATCCTTGACTACTTTCCCAGGCCACAGGCAGGGAGCTGGATGGGAAGCAGGGTCGCCAGAATTAGAACTGGCACCCATATGGGATCCTGGCGTGTTCAAGGTGAAGACTTTTAACAGCTACGCTATCATGCTGGGCCCAGGAAGGAAATTTTACTGGAGGGCTGGCTGAGCTCAAATGGAGCCAGGCCTTCCTTCATTTTAAGTTGAAGCCTGACTTGGTTCTGGAGAAAATCCCTGGCCAGAGGGCAGGAAATAGCTCCTGTGCCCATCCGAAGGGCTGCCCACAGTGCTTGCCAGCTGCACAAGATCTGACTCTGGAGGCCTGTGGGGACCTGGCTGCCTGGCCAGAAGGCAGGTGCTGTGCCCATCCGGTGGAAACAAAGTGTTGGGCGTCGGGAGTAGGGCGTTGGGAACTTGGCTATAGCAAGTCATGTTTTCTCTCCTGTAAGTAGCTGGGAATAACAACAGTGTCTCCTACTTCCTGGGAATAAGTGAGAGAGCGTCCTGGAGAGTGGCTGGCAGAGACGGATAAGCCACGACTGTGGTTGGAACAGGACAGTGCCAGCACACGCCAGAGACAGATCTGGCTGGGGCTGTGGTTCCGGGGGAGGACTGGTCTCTCTGGGGCACTGCTAGCAGAGTGACTTCTCTACTCCACACATACAGTCTGGTCATTATCCGGTTCCTTAACTGTCCACGGCTCCCTACTGCCTTCCAGGTTGAAGGCCGAATTCTTCACCTAGACCAACAAGGCCCTTTACGGTCAGGCCCCTGTGGTCCTTCCCATCCCGCTGGCTTGCTTCTCTTACTGAACTTCTTATCTCCCCTAGCGCAGACACTATCCCTGACCACACTCACCTGAATGCTGGTATTCCTATTGAATTCACGGATGAAAACATGGAGGTTTGACAAGCAAAAGGGCTCAGTGCCCTGGCAAAAGGTCCCAACAGGTGTCTCCTAATGGAGTAGGAAAACATCAAAAACTATGAGTTACCAAGGGAGAAACCGAGGCTAAAGTAATTTCATTCTGTCATTCACACTCCCAAGCACCTGAGTGTGGGGAGATGATCCAGGTTTTCCTGTAGGCCAAGAGCTAGGGACTTGAAGCCACTCCTGCCAGGTGTGAGCCAAGGCTTTGAGGCCTACCCAAGGCCTTCACCCCCGGCCCCTCCATTCTCCACAGGGCTGGTGAGGGTGCAGGCAACCAGTGGCCAGCTTGGGTGCAGCACACAGCATACTCAACCAGCATTTATCAATTCTTGTCTGTGTCTTAGGGATGGCAGGCATGGGCCCAGAGAAGTCCTTGAGTGATGACAGCTGGCCACGGGGGAGCTGGAGCTACACCCGAGGGGCCTCCCTCTCCCTGCTTTACCTCTACTCAGGGCCCTAGGGAGAACATTTGACCCTGTGGTTATTCATCCTCAAACCAGTGCCTACAGGGGTGGGCAGATGGGCAGGCTGGGTGGATGTCTTCACCCTAGATCTCTCAGCCACTAGTTCATTCCCAAGCAGCCCCTGCTTCTCTCTCTCAGAAGGGTTGGGGGCTCACCTAGAGCAGGGTAGCTGGGCTGTAACATTCACAGGCCAGCTGTTTGGGCAACGACTGTTCTTACCCTGCTTCACACCCTGGCATCTTTTCCTGAGGGTGGGGTTCCCCGATCCAGGCTTCTCCACCTTGGCCTGGTAGCCAGCCCATTGCCTACTACGCAGGAAGTAGCAGCTGCACGCAGCAGTGAGAACAAGTCAACAGAGACCAAGGGCTCGGTTTAAAAGCAAGCCGGACTGCAGCTTGCTGCCTCTAACCTCCACCGTAAGAATCCTCTTAGCTATACCCTGTGCCTTGGAAACTGCAGTGTGGAAACTGAGGCTTAGGATAAGTGGCTTGTGTAAGGCTACACAGCAGCAGCTCCCAGGCTGCTAGGGAGGGATGGGAGGACTCAGCATGGGTGGGTGCCATGGGCAGAGGGTAACAGTCAGAAATGATTGGCTCAAATGACCCACTGTGGAGCAGGAACCAAGGAATGCTTCTCCATGGACTTGCCCAAGCAGGGCTGGCAGGGATGATCTGGGGGTTGCTGCCCAGAGGGAGGGCCCTGGGGTGGGAAGCCAGCTCCTGCTGGCAGGTGGACTTGGCTGCTGAAAATCTTCAGGGTCCCTCAGTCTCATCCAGACTCTGGATCCCTTGCCTTCCAGGGGGCGCTTTCCTTCACCCAAGGAGCCCTTGCTGCCTTAGGGAGCCTGGCACCCCTGCACCCCTGCCCGCTTGGGAGCCGCCATCCCTGGCTTGGGTGTGTGTGTGTGCGTGCAGGGGGGACAGTTAAGAGCAACAGGCTGGGGTAACCCAAACTGCACACTCATTCTAGGGCGGCCCATTGCTGAAGCTGCAGGAGGATGGAGTCTAGCTAGCAGTCCAGCACTGATGCTGAGGCAGGGCGATGGCACATCCAAAGTGGCCTTTTTCCCAGGTGGGCTCTGGGTTCATAGAGGGACGCTGGTAAACACTCCACTGGGGGAATAAGTATGCATTTACTAAGCCCTGGGAGGAATGGCATCACGTGGCCCTCGAGGGCGGCGCCCTCAGCTTTGAGATGGAGTTAACTCCACATCTAATCACAGAAGGCTTTCTGGAGGAGGCAGACTTTTTATGGCGGTCGAGTGGGGCTTTCTCTCAACAGCGAGGATGCGATTAGCGCCCTAGGGACCAAGTCACTTCTTAGGTGAGCTTTTCGATGCCGAGCAAGCTCAACAGAGCTGGGGTCTGGGCGGGGGTCGGGAGAGGTTGGAGCTGTGGGATCAGAGCCGGAGTAGATTCTGCAACCTGCCCTTTCGCTGTCTGCAGCTTGGCCGCTCCGTGGCCGCCCGAGGTCGGTGCTATGGAGCCTTGGCGCTCGGTGCAGGCCATGAGGTCCCACACCGTTACAGAGCAGAATGTTTCTGGCCCGGGGTCGCAGCGGCAGACTTGGAGGAGCCGGCCAACGGTTTCTGCCTTCCCCGCGTTAGTAACGTCCGGGTCCAGCTGCCCGGCCCGCAGGGGCGAGGCGCGCGCTCCCCGGGGGAGCCGGGCCGTGGAGCAGGCGGCCTGCGGCGGCCGGCGATGGCAAGATAGGGGCCATCTGCATGGGCGCCGAGAACTGCCGCGGCCGCGGGGCGAGGCGCGGCCCCTGCCGGCCCCCAGCCCCGCGTGCACGCACCTCCCCAAGTCGGCCAGCGCCCGCGGCCCGCGCCCCAGTGCCAGGCCCAGACCTAGCCTAGGCGCGGGAGGCGGCGCGGGGATTAGTGGACCCCTCCCCGGGCGGCGCTCCCCTCGCCCCGCCCGAGGCTGCCAGGACCCCCCCAACCCCCGCCTCCGTCTCCCCCCCGGGCCCCTGCGTGTGGGTGCGGGAGCTTGGTCCCCGCCGTGTCGGGGCTGGGGACTCGGCCTCGCCAGGCGGGGAGCGCACGGCGGCAGGCCGAGGTGCGGGGCGCGCTTGTCAGGGTTGCAGCCCGGCTCGGGTGCGGGGGGTGGGCTCCGCGCTAGGGTGGCCCGGCCTCAGCCCTCGGCCGAGGCCACGGCCGGGCGGGCAGTGCCCGGGCCGGTAACCCGACCCGGCTCCCCGGAGCCGCTCACCCCGCACTGCCGGGCAGGGGGAGGAAGAGGCATGGGGGGAGGGGGAAGGGGAAGGGTGGTGGGTGAGGGGCTGTGGGGAGCGCAGGGCAGAGTCTTGGGGCCGTCTGCGCGGCTCTAGGGCGGCAGCTCGCGGCGCCCCGGAGGAGCCAGCCGCCGGCCTCGCGGGCGTCGAGCCTGCGGCAGGAGGGAGCCCTGGGGCTGCACAAGCTTGGCTCGGGGAGGCAGACCCGAGCTGCTGCCTCCTCCATTTTGTTTCCTGCTCAGCTTGGTCTGTGGTGGTGGTGGTGGTGTGGGTTTGGGGTGCGGCCGGGCAGGGGGTTCACCTGTGGCCACGCCTGCTTGGGGTCTGAGGCTTCGAAGACCCCAACCCAAGCCCCCAGGTGAGCCCGGCGGCAGGAGGGAGGGGTTGCCTTGGCCTCGGGCCGAATCGAGCCGGTTGAGGGCAGGTGCCCAGTGGATGGGGAGCCCGGGCTGTAACCTAAGATGGAGGCCGGGACTGACGCGGACCCGAGCGGGGCTGGCGGGGCGGTTGGACAGGCCTCTCAGGCAGGCCAGGTGCCGCCGGGATTGGGGTTCGAGACCGACAGGGGTGTTGGAACCGTGGTGTGCAGCCAGTGGCCGGCGCAGCGCCCCGAGATAGCTGAGGGGGGATCGCAATGCCACCCACGACGCCCGCAGGCCCGGACACTCCGGGGAGGCGGGCGAGGCCCCTGGGGAGCCTGCTGCAGGCCCCGCCCGGACTGCCGGGCCGGCCCGTAGGCCCGGGCCGCGAGCGGGCGAGCCGGGGGAGGGGAGGGGGCGGCAGCGGCAGCCTTGCTGATTGGGCAGCGCGCTGGCGAGCCCGACTTCACCCGCCCTGAACCCCGAAGAGTGAGGCGAGGGGGCGCGCGAGCGCGCGCGCGCGCGGCGGGGGGAAGGGGTGCGCGCGCACTCGGGGCCCCAGCCGCACGCGGACCGGCGCGAGGCGCTCGGTCGCACGCGCCGCGGCGGGGGCGCGCGCGGTGGGGGTGTGAGGAGGAGGAGGAGGAGGCGGCGGCGGCCGTGGTGGTGGTGGAGGAGGAATAGGCCGGGGCAGGTCGCGCTCGCTGCCTTCTCCCCAGAAGAGAGACGCGGGGGGAGGGGGGTGCGGCGAGCGGCTCCTGTCTCTCCCCACCGCCCCGCTCGCGCCCTAGTGTAATGAGGGTCACCCCCTCCCCCCAGCTGGCCCGGGCGGGGGCGCGGGGCACGGTAACTAGTGCGCTGGGGTGGGCGGCGGGCAGGCGCGAGGAGGAGGAGGAGGAAGAGGGAGGAGGTGGCCGGGCGGGGAAGATGGTGGTGGCCGTGAGGTGAGGGCTTCGGGGGAGGGCCCGGCGTGGCGCGGGGTTGGTGGCCGGCGGCGTTCCAGCCGCGGGCCCCCTTCCCCTCCTCCATCACTACCAGCCGGGCTCAGGCCTAGCTGGCCGGGCTGCCGCAAACTTCCTCCCGGTGCGGCCCGTGCCCCGGCGGCAGCCCGCGCGCACCTCGGCCTCCACCTCCCTTCAGGTAGCTGGCCGCGGGGCGAGGGGCCGGCAGCCCTCCCGCAGCAAACTTTGCTTGCTGCTGAATATTGATGAATTCGATCGGCACGGCCGGGAGGTGGCTGCCGCGGCTGGGGAAGGGATCGCGGCCCGGGCAGGCGGCGTTGGCGGCGTCGGCAGCAGCCATGTTTGTCAAGCCGTAGCAGCAGCAGCTGCTGCTGCTGCTGCTGCTGCTGCTGCTTGCTGCCGCCCAGACTCGGCTTCGCCGGCCGCTCCCCGGCCTCGGAGCGCTGCAGCCGCGGACGGAGCAGGCTTGCAGTCAGGAAGGCAAGCTCGGAGGAGCCCTCCGTGTCGGCCGATTCGCCCGCGGCCTGGGCACGGTTGCTGCAAAGGGCTCGGGCGCCGGCTGGGCGCGGGGTGCAGCGCTATTGTGACCGCTGCGCCCGAGCGAGCTAAGAAGGAGGAGGGGTGCCTTTTTGTGCTGCGTCCGGGAGAGCCCCCCACCCTTCCTCCTGAACCCCACAGCCCCCTCCCTTGCGACAGATCGGGCTGCTGGACCCGGACCGGGAAGCGGGGAGGATGATTCCTGTTTGAGATTTGGGAATTTTGACTGCCTATGGGATTTTAATTTTAGTTCAGCCCAAGTGTCCACCAGTCTGCAGCGCAAGGGGGGAAAAAGGGCGGGGGGAGGACACGGGCTGTTTCCATGTGGCAGGATCAGCCCGGCTCCGGGAAGATGGAGTTTGCTGAGGCTCACCGTGGCCATTTTTCCATGGTCAGTCGGGAGAACTTTTTCCGCCCTTGGAAGTGCAGCAGAAAGGCATAGAGGCCACTAGGCCCTGAAAAGTGGCTGCCATTTTGAAGAGGAGAGTCAGAGGATGGCTTGTTCACTCAGTTTAATTGCTGTGTTTTTGGATTCCAGGTTGATGCCAGCCCAGGATGGATCAGACCTGTGAACTACCTAGAAGAAATTGTCTGCTGCCCTTTTCCAAGCCAGTGACTTTAGATGTCTCTGAAGACAAGGACAGCCCTTTCGGTAATGGTCAATCCAGTTTTTCTGAGCCACTTAATGGGTGTACTATGCAGTTGTCGCCTGCCAGTGGAACATCCCAAAATGCTTATGGACAAGATTCTCCATCTTGTTACATTCCACTGCGGAGACTACAGGATTTGGCCTCCATGATCAATGTAGAATATTTAAATGGGTCTGCTGATGGTTCAGAATCCTTCCAAGACCCTGAGAAAAGTGATTCAAGAGCTCAGTCGCCCCTGAGGCCTGGCGGTCCAGCAGCACTTGCTGTGAAACAGGAACCCCGTGCTAATAACTCCCCTGAACTCCAGGGAGGAGTTACAGAGACTACCAAGAGTGGCTTTCCGCACTTTGAGAATTTTACTGGTGTGGACGATGCAGATGTAGAATCTGAAATGGACCCAGAACAGCCAGCCCCAGAGGCTGAAAGGATAGCGGAGACTCAGAGCAATGCCACCTGCACTGCTGAGCCTAAATCAGAGCATGATGTAAAAGTGGCCGTGGAAAGTGAACGAGACGGCACGGCCGGGAGTAGACCCGGTGCAGTCGATTCGCCATTCTTGCCATTAGCTCCTCAGACCGAGACGCAGAACAATAAGCAAAGGAGTGAAGTGGACGGCAGCAGTGAAAAAGCCCTTCTCCCAGCCCCTCTTGCTCTAGGAGATGCAGACCTTCCCCTAGAAGAGCAATTAAACTCAATAAATTTATCTTTTCAGGATGATCCAGACTCCTCCAGTACCAGTACATTAGGAAACATGCTAGAATTACCTGGAACTTCATCATCAGCCACTTCACAGGAATTGCCATTTGTAAGCAGTTTTTGGTACAACTTACATATGTGCATTATGTATCTATTTAGGCCTCAGAAAGGGAAACAGCTAGCTTGTCTTGGGTTGCTTATTGGTTCAAGCTGAAAGCCTGTTGCTAAATGATAAGTTTTTTGGGGAGAAAAATTTTACTGTGGTTTTTACATTTATCTCTATGCGAGTTTGATTCTTTTGCAGCTTTTCCCAAATAATGCTCTATTGAAGACTAGCTAAAGTGTTAAAACTTTTCAAGACATTTGATTGAATTCAGATGCAGTTTTGCAGCGTGGAAGTATATTTCTTTCATAAGCTTTCCAAAACTAGAGGACTTTGGCCTGTCCTAAGTCAGGAGTGCAGGCAGCCCAGCGTTGCTGGGAGTCAGCCCTCTTTCCCGACACATTCTTGGCTTAGTCGGTGGGGTGACTCCTGGCGCCGGCTGAAGTGCTTTTGGGCACAGATTGAAAGTGATGAAGATGAGAAGGCTTCCTTGGGCATCAGTCAACATTTAAATTAGGCTGGTTTTTCTGAACTCCTGTCCCGGAGGTACAGCATCCTGTGCTTCTGCTAACTGCTCTCGTCTGGAACCTGTTCTCATGTTGCATCTAGCATTGTAAATACACAGGTGTGTGCTTAGACACGCAGAAAATCTGAGTTTCTGGTCTTTACAGAGTGTTGTAGAGGGTGGAAAACTGCAGTTTTACAAATTGGAACATAGGATTTCTTGAACTTCTAGTGAGCTAAATGATCAATTCCTCTTGGGCTTCTCATCACCTGTAAAATCGGAATCCTATGAAATTTCAGCTTTCCAAATTTGATCCCAATTTTGTTTTTTCCCAAACATATTGTCACGTAGACGGTAGTGTTACTAACGAAGGTGTTTTTTTTTTTTTTTTTTAATGGGATGGAGGGGAGCCGGAGCTGCCTCACAGATAACTGTAACTGCTTGTAGAAGAAAAAGTTGGAAGTGCATTGAACTTCTTGCATATCCCTGCTGTTCTTCCGAGTCACAGGGGAGAATGTGGGCGTGTCACTTCGTGTGGATTCCCGTGTTAAGTAGGTGTTAGTAGTTCTGGGTTTCTTAGCTTGGCAGTTACAGATTTTAAAAATCTGCTTTGGTGGCTGTCTCAAGGCTGTGCTAGAGAAGTTAGTTTGGAAGCTGTTGTGAAAACCTAGCGGTAGTCAGGACATACTTTGGGTTTCCTGTTGAAATTTATTGCTTCTGTACATGTGTATATCGTTTTCTCACTGTCTTAATGTATAAATTTAGATCTGAGGATGGAGATGGTGTTTTCTTTGAAAGCATACAAAGCCTGTTGGGCTCTTATCAGCACGATGTTAGTGGAATCTTTTTTTTTTAAGCAATTGAAAATATTGCAGCCTGTAGGTGTTTGTTACGTGTTTAACAGGGAACTTAACAAAGTGTGTTTATGTATATATAAATGTATATGTGTGTGTGTGTGTGTATGTATTTCTTTTTCAAGGACAGCATCTAAATTGTTCAAAGATTTTATGGACCTGAAGTAACAAGCATCGAACGTTTTCTTTTGGTCTTTAATTCAAGGTTGTGATTGAGAATGGATTTATTTTTGTCTTTGAAAAAAAATTTTTTGAGGATTTATTTATTAGAAAGGCATGGTTACAGAAAGAGAGGGAAACGCTGATTTTTCTCTTGGTTCGCTCCCCAGGTGGCTGCAGCTGCCATGACTGGGCTGGGCTGCAGCAGGAGTGTAAACTAATTGGGTCTTTGTAGGTGGCAGGGACCCGAGTCTTGGGTTGTCTTCCGCTGTGTTCCCAGGCCTTTAGCAAGGAGCTGAATCCGAAGTGGAGCAGCCAGGACCCTGGCACCCGTAGTTGGGATGGCAGGCGGCTTCAGCTGCTACGCATGCCAGCTAGCCCCAATTCTTTTGAAAAAAAAAATTTTTTTTAAAGACTTATTATTTTTATTGGAAAGGCAGATTTAAAGAGAGAAGGGGCCAGAGAAAGATCTTCCATCTGCTGGTTTACTCCCTAAGTAGCTATGATGGCCGGAGTTGAGCTGATCCAAACCCAGAAGCCAGAAACTTCCTCTGGGTCTCTCAACGCAGGGTTCCAAAGCTTTGTGCCATCCTCTGCTGCTCTTCCAGGACGTGAGCAGGAAGCTGGAAGGGAAGTGGAGTAGCCAGGACACAAACCTGTGCCCATATGGAATCCCAGGATGTGCAAAGCTAGGATTTAACCACTGAACCATCATGCTGGGCCCACTGTGGAAATTTTTCTGAGGACTTAAAAAACAGTGAACATCAGATTACAAATTTAAGTCAACATCATAGCTTGGAAAGGAGTAGTTAATAGTTCTAAAGTATTCATGTATTCATAGTTGGTTTAAATCCATCAGTACAGCAGATGTGGGTCCTATGCTGTAGCCTGGAAATCTTAGAACATTTTCTGCAAATGTTGTTTATCCTGCCTGTAATATTATGACAGAAAACAATTCTCTTGGCTGGGGTGAAAGTAGTAGTTAGGGCTGTGGACCCCATCTAGGACTGGTGGAAGGTGCCGTTTTCTGGGTTTTGTGTGTCTCACATAGTCTGTCTGCCGTGGGGAAGGAGCAGCCCTTGCCTCTGGGCCTCCTGTGCTCTTCAACCATCTCTGCATTTAGTGAGGAGCAGTGATCGTTACGGTTTATAATCCTGACCTTGTTCTTTTGTGTTTAATTGGGTGGGTACCAGCTAATGCTGCCCTGTGCACAAAACCTTGATGCCCTGTGCATGGTAGGTGTATGAGAAAATCTTAGCAGTGTTGGTCCCAGAGCTGCAGCTCATTAAGTAGTTTTGTGTGATTTGTATTGCTTCATTGGGTCATTGTTTGTAGTAAAGAGAGATGCAGAAGACATAGGGCAGCTTCTGCTGGAGGCAAGACCGAGCTCTTGAGATCAGAATTAGCCCTTGCTCTTTTTTTTTTCTTTTTTCTTCTTTTTCTTTTTAAAGACTGACTTTATTTGGAAGAGAGTGGGATATGCAGAGAGCTCTTCCATCTGCTGGTTCTTCCCAGTTGACCACAATGCCAGGGCTAGGCTGGACCAGAACCTTCTTAGCAGCTCGGTACATTCTTTCTGATTTACGTATTTTATGGAGATTTTTTTTATTCCCCATCATCTGCATGACTTTGGGCCTCCCCAAGGTTCTTATGCAGTGGTCTGACATACATTTTATACTGGTGGTCCTCCAAGGTCTGTTTGGTTCATTGAATTTGTGGGGCAATGAATGAAGCCTAGAACTCTTGAGGTTTCGGGGGTGCATTGGCACTTGAACTTGGTCTTGGTTGAGTTGGGTGTGTTTGGTTTGGAGGGCATTTTGGATGTGAAGAATTCAAGGAGTATGATGTTTTTAGGGGATTACGTGCTGGAGACCGCTTGGGTTAAATGGTGTAGTCAACCCACAGAGCCTCGACGTCCAGCCCGAGGCGTTTGTTAATGAGGGGAAATGGTGCCATCCTCAGCAGGCTGTTCTGATGGTAAAGATTTAGCAGAATCATTACCAGGAAGAATAAGTGTAAAAGATGATTTCAAAGGGAGAATAGCAGTGGTTCTTTGGGGTTGCCTGTCGCAGAGGCCAAGATTGGAGAACGGTGTTGGAAGGCGAGGGGTGGGTACCTGTGACGCCTTGTAACGTTGGTGCCTGAGAAAGGCATGGCTCTCCGGAGATGTCTCTGTATCCCCATCATCTCAAACATTCTCATCCCCCCTCAGTCCCTCAGAGCTTCCTTCCTTTCTCTGAACCACTCCCCCTGGCTGGGGACTTTCTTTTTGTCGTTAGGATTATTTAGAGGGAGACTGGGAACACTTTCATTTGCTGATTCTCTTCCAGATCTCCGTGTCCTGAGGCCCTGGCTTGGGGCCACACCTGCAAGCAGGCCTTGTGAATGCCAGGATCCCTGCTGGGCCCCCTGGGGCCCGAATTGTCAGCTGAGGGCCAGGGGCAGAGGCCACCAGGAAAACTCCCCTTGTGATGTGGAATACGCGATAGGCACATCTTAGCTAGCCCCTCCACAGCCAGGCCAGAGACCTGAGGGAGCTGGTTTCAGTAATTCTTTCTCCATGAAGTTTTCATTCTCTGTCCCTCTACTATATCACTTTTTTCTGCCTAAAACAGGTGGTGGCGTCATTCTAAATGAACCTTCTTGTAGCCTGCAACAACCGGGGATGGGCCAGGCTGAGCCGGTGAACCTAGAGCGGCATCCTTCCATGTGGGCTGCAGGACCCAATCTCCTAAGCCAGCACCCACTGCTTCCCTGGCTACTGTGGCAGGAAGCTGGACTGGAAGACGGAGCAGCCTGCAGTCTAATATAGTCAGCTTAACTTGATACTTTGTGGTGCCTGTCAGTAACTGATGAGTTTGTTGCGAGTCATCTACTTTACTCTGTGGTTTTGTGAGTGTATCTTGTACCGTGCTGAAACCATGCTTTTATAAACTAACCTTAGCAGATTGAAAGCATTTCTTAAGATAATTTTTATTGTTTTTTTGATACAATTTAATTGCCTATGGACTCTCCCCTCCCCCTCCCAAAATTCCCTTCCCTTCCCCTCCGGCCCTTCTCTCTAGAATCATAATGTGAAAGCATTTTGGCTACCAGCCTTTCAATAGACTTTATTTGAAAGAGAGAGGGAAAAACTGACAGGTGAGGGCTGTGGGATATCCATCAGCTAGGTGCATAATCTACATCACTCAACAGATGTGAGTAATGGCTGGTCGGAAGACAGTCAGGAATTCAGTCTAGGTCTCCTACATAGGTAAAAGAGATTAGGGATTTCTTTCTGCAAAGTAAGAGAAGGAGAGACAGAGAGGAAGATCTTCCGTCCGATGATTCACTCCCCAGGTAGCCGCAATGGCTGGAGCTGTGGCAATCCGAAGCCAGGAGCCAGGAGCTTCTTCCAGGTCTCCTACATGGCTGCAGGGTCACAAGGCTTTGGGCCGAGCTCGATGACTGCTTTCCCAGGCCACAAGCAGGGAGCTGGATGGGAAGCG